TGCCCCCAGCTGCTTGAAGTCCTGCAGGAAGACGGTCCTCAGAAGTCCAGCCCAACTCTGGCAACCGGAAGGCTCACCCTTTAAATCCCCTTCCCAGGGCTATAAAGGCCCAGCTTCCTCGCCCCCAATCAGAATAACTCTGAAGGGCCACCCTAAATTCAGAGCCCTCTAAGACCTTCATTATGACTGCATCACACAACACTCATGTTCTCTGCCCATACCTACTTCCCTTCCCAGCCACAAGTGCCATTCCCACTGCACAATAAATGCCCATTAAATGCCCATTCATTTGCACAATAAATGCCCATTCATCTCCATCTCAGAGCTGGATTTCCAGAGACTCCAACGTGGAACATAGGCAAACAGGGTAAACTTTGCCTTGGACGATAGACAACAAGGAGAAGGTAAATTACAGCCCGCGGGCCAGATCTGGCCCACCGCCTGTTTTGTAAATAAAGTTTTATTGGAATAGAGCCATGTTCATTTATTTATGCATTGTCTTTGGCTGCTTTCCTTCTACAATGGCAGAGTTGAGTAGTTGCTAGAGAGACCACATGGCCTGCAAAGCCTAACTTAATTGCTACCAGGCCCTTTCCAAAAAAAAAAAAAGTTTGCCAACCCCAGTTCTTAATCATTAAAGAAAAAGCACAGCTGTAAAATAAGGGTTCCTCCTCAAATGTCTTCTGGCATCTCTAGCAAGAAATCTTCATGGGCTTGGGGAACTGAGTGTAACGCAGGCTTCTCTGGTAGACTTGGCATGTATACGTGCAGTGTCATGTAGGCTTCCCTTGAGTGGTGTAAGTGCTTTCTTCATGAAATAAACCTCACTCACTACTAATGTGTTAGATTATCGCGTCAGAACACTAGTAAACACGGGATTCCTTCCGTGAACGGGCAGGGATTTCTTCCTCTCCAGTCATTCCCATCTTTGGCCACTAGTGATACTAAACTCCACTGGGGTCTTCCCAGACCAACGCCCAATTGCCCAGAGCAATTCTAAGACAGAGGATCCACACAGAACATTGGTGTCCGGAGCAGATGTGGGCAAACAGTGCATTCAGCAATGTCTTCTCCAAAAGCATCTAACAAAATCAGGTGGTTTTGCTCTATCTACTTGGTTGTCTTAGAAACAGGGGAAAGCTTCAGACCTTGGCCACAAATAGGAAATGAAACTGGCAGTAAGTAACATATCAGTCAATACTGGTTTAGCAGGACTTCCCTGGTGAGCAGTGGTTAACAGGGGAAAGCTTCAGACCTTGGCCACAAATAGGAAATGAAACTGGCAGTAAGTAACATATCAGTCAATACTGGTTTAGCAGGACTTCCCTGGTGATGCAGTGGTTAAGAATCTGCCTGCCAATGCAGGGGACACTGGTTCGAGCCCTGGTCCAGGAAGATCCCACATGCCACGGAGCAACTAAGCCCATGCGCCACAACTACTGAGCCTGCACTCTAGAGTCCGCAGTCCACAACTACTGAGGCCGTGTGCCTCAACTATTGAAGCCTGCATGCCTAGAGCCTGTGCTCCGCAACAAAGGGAAGCCACCGCTCACCGCAACTAGAGAAGGCCTGTGCAGCAACGAAGACCCAATGCAGCCAAAAATAAATAAATAAATTTATTAAAAAAAAAAATACTGGTTTAGGCATGCAACACCCAGTGAGGAGAGAAACGTTCAGATCAACACTGTACATCCCATAGAATACCAGAACAGATTTCAGGCTGGGAGGGATTTCTGAGCCAATACTTTTAACTCTCAAATGGCATGGCTTGTTACATTTAGTTAGAAATTAACTGTGTAGCTTACTCTCCTAATAGATTTTACCCACGGTAACTGGGCACCAAATGCTGGTATTATTTATATGCCCGTGAGCAGTCTTTGAACATAACCTTTGACAGTGATAGTGGAGATGGGGCCCATCACTGAGAGAGTCCCCACCATCCTAACTGCTCTACTTTGGGCTGTCACTGAGGGTGGCACAGTGTGAGCCAAACACACACGACTGTTCTCAGCTCTGGCACTTCATGGCCAGGTGGGCTTGGGCAAGTTATTTAATCTTCAAGCCCCATTTGTCTTGTCCGCAAAATAGGAATAATGACATTCTCTTTACAGAATGATTTGAATGATTCAAAGTAATAAATACAGTGGAAGGAGCCCAGGGCTTGGCATCTAGGATTTCCACAGTAAATGTTGTGGGTACTGATAGGATGATGATAATGATGATTATGATGGTGGTGATGGTGATGGTGACATTCTTCCTTACAACAGATGCAGGGATTTGTACAATGTCCATCTAGCAGGTGCTAGCAGGATGCTTCTAACAGTGGAGATGTAAGTAACAAACTTACAAGGACCAAGGAAATGAACAAAGAGGGAACCAATTCACAAGCCCTCAGCCCCTGAAAAGAGAACAGGTACCCCTGGGTCTGTTAAAAATGTTACTTCCCAGCAGACATGGCCAGTCTGCACTGTACAAAGCATTTGATGGCATCCCATTTTCCCTAATCTTAGCAATCTTTCTGGGTGCGTGTCCTGGAGGCTCATTCAACAATATAATTTATAGGACTGTCTGTCTGATGACCCACTGACTAGAGCTAAAATTGTTTTGCCTCCATTTGTAGAATCTCCCAGGCTGCACCTGCCTTGCAGCTGCATGTAAGTTGGCTAGCAAGGATACCACTCATTCTGTATTTTGGAGTCTTTCAGATACAAAGAATCAGATTCAGGAACTATAAAGTGTGATGACCACTAACAGCACATGTAGCCACAGGAGCCTGTCAAGAATGTCTCAGACAAGATTCCAGTTTCAGGTGAGAAAATACAAACAGTTCATTGGAGTTTTAATGAGCATCGCCACTGTTGGAAAGCACTCGCATTAAGGTTTAAAAGCTTTGTCAAGACTGAAGGTCAGCAAGCTCACCCTTGAAGCCTTGTGTAGATTATACTAGGACAGACTGTGGTAGTTAGAATCTGTGAGTTGTGCTTATAAATTTCAGGCAAGAATTCTACAGCATGGACAAGAAGTGCTTTCTTATCACCCGGGAAGAAATGCATTCCATTGCAAATTAGTTTCTAAGTGAGAGAGCACAACTGTACAGGGATGTGTGTGTGCGTGCGTGCGTGCGTGCGTGTGTGGGTGTGCATTTGTACACATGGACACGTGTGTCCTAAACAGTGAGCCCAAGGTTGTATAGCTTTGAACTTCATGAGTGAGGGACCCAGAGTCACCTGGAACCTCTTTTCCTTATAGATTTCATCTCAGAAAAATAGAGCGGAAATTTTTTCAAGCTTAAGGGGACCTTAAGCTTGAAAAATTGAACACCAAATCCAACCCCTTCTCTAGTTACCCAGATGAGGAAACAGAATCAGAGTTAGTGTGGCATGTCCACGTTCCACGTGCTGGAAAATAACAGATCAGCAACTCTAAGAAAGGTGACCTGGCCGCCACAAATATCTCCTTCCTCCAATGGTAGAATGAGGTCATGTGATTTAGAGCCACTCAAATGCTCCACAGGTGAATCTTTGGGATTAGACCTATTCTGGGGGAAGTCGGCCCATGGGAAGTAAAAATTAACTTGCACTCTTTGCCTAAGAAAATCAATTATAGGAGTAGTCATTTCACAAAGTCACAATCAAAAATCTTGTCTGCGCCAAAGCCAAAAATAAGACGTAGGGATTTTCTCTGCTCATATGCTCCCCTCCTCTGAGATGAATGTTTGAGATCTGGCGCTGGTGATTTTTAAGGCGCCTTTGGTGAAAGCGCTATAAATCCAAGTTACCATTTCATAGCACAAAGACTAGGGTATGCTTCAACGGGGGAGCACACAACAATGTAGGTGGTCGTATATTTCCAGACTCTCCATCAACAAGGAAGAAGAAATGGCTGGCTTGAGAAACGTCTTTAAAACCCAAAGTGAGGCCCAGCTTTGCAACACTGACGGCTGCTTATGTTTTCTCTCTTGCAATAAGTCTGCCAGACTCAGACGCAATATATATACAATATGTATACACTTGTTAAAATTAATTGCATCATTTAACATTTCTATGCACATTACAGCTTTAAAATGTTTTAGTCATTTTTATTAATTAATAAAGCTTTTAATGGACAAAAATTGCACTGTAAAATTATTATGCATATGCCACACTTTCAATTTACCACTATTATATTTGAATATTTCCCCCAAGTGGAAAGTCGCTAATTCATAAACCAGAATCTCTTGCGGAAGTGTACGCGGGGAAGGAGAGAAGTCTGGCCTCTGCCTAAGGCCTGCTCCCCGCTCTACCCCCGATCTCCCAAGAAAGGTAAAGGGTGCCCAGGACAGCTGACCTTGGGAATTCTGCCTGGCCCTGGCAGTGGCGGAAAGGTATCAAATCCCAGCCGAGTTGCCCCAGAAAACACAACTAAAGAATCAGAAAACCACTGCTTCTGCTGTTTGGTGTGGAGAGTCCCAGGTTTGCCTCTCTTTGAAAATGTCCCATAATTACTATACACACTCTCACACACAAACACTCCATTATGGAGCTTTGTGGTCTAGGTTTCTAAGGCCAACCCATCAGCATCAACTACCCGATGGAAAAGTTAAAAGTGCAGAACTCTAGAGACTTCCAGATGTGCAGATGTTCATACCAGGGGGACAAAACATCTGGGAGTGGACGGCCCGTGGCTCTTCTCATCCTGCTTTGGAATGACCACGGCCTAAATGAACTTCACTTGGGGCAGAGTCCCCTACTCATTATATATGGTCTGGAGCTACTGATGGAAACAAAAGTTTGAGGGAAGGCCTTTCATAATCTACAAAAGCATCATCTAAGAAAATCTATCCGAACCAGACATCCACACGGAGCTATCAACGGTCAACTCTGAGTGGAGTGGATGAAGCAATTACTGAGAACTGTTTCTTGGAATAAGTTACGTAGGAGAAACTCACTCACTACGCACCCTGGCAATGAAGTGGGGAGGGGTCTGCACCTGGTGGCAGGGAGGATGGGAGTGTCACTCACCTGCCGTGTAGCTCCAGCCCGGGATGTGAATGGACAGCTGCTTGGCGTGACCATGACCACCGGTGTGACAATGAGCTGCACGGTCCTCCTTCCCTTTTCTCACAGTGATCTGGTTACTTCCCGCATCTGTATGTTCCGGTGGAGGAGAGACTCTCCAAGGACACATGCCGGTTCCCGCGGTCCCCAAATGTACCCGCCCCAACGACGGGTTTTCCTTCAAGAAACTTTCTTGCAAATCTAGGTTCCAGCGAGGGCCTAGGAGGTTTTGGTTTCCCTCCGTGAGCTCCAGCTTCAGGGCTCTGCTTATTGGCTCTCCGTTAGCTGTGCCATCTACTCCATCTGGTGTCAATCTGTGTGAACTGCAATTTAGGTTGAGGGACAGAACGGACCTGTGCATCTTAGGGCCAGCAAGTCGAGGTGGCTCAATGGGGACAGACAGGGACCTGTCCAGGTAGTAGACAGAATTTGGACACGGCTGAGACACTCTGAGATGGACACAGGAGCTGAACACCAGCGGGCTCTTTCC